CCTGGATTCCTTTTTTTTTTTTTTTTTTTTTTTTAAGATTTATTTATTATGTATACAGTGTTCTGCCTACATGTGTCCTTGCAGGCCAGAAGACGCCACCAGATTTCATTATGGGTGGTTGTGAGCCACCATGTGGTTGCTGGGAATTGAACTCAGGACCTCTGGAAGAGCAGTCAGTGCTCCTAACCACTAAGCCATCTCTCCAGCCCCGGATTCCTTTACTAGCATGTGCACACACACACACACACACACACACACACGAGAGATAAAATCCTTGCTCTCATGGGGAGAACACTCCAAGAGAAATAAAATATAGGATGGTAATCACCACTGGAGGAACAGCTCAGTGCTGGACCTCTTGTCTGTTATTTCAAAAACAAATAATAATAAATAAGGTTAAGGAAAAATATGATGTAAGATGTTAATATGCTAATAATTAGTAAGAAAAAACAGAACCAGAAACAACAACAGGAAATATGTGTGGGAAGGGCTATGACATTTCATGCATGCTGGTCCGCAAGGCTACCCTAAGAAGCAGGAGCAGGGATGTGACGGGTCCCACTCTGCAGGAAAAAAAAGAGCAAGGGCAGGGGGCAATGACCAAGGCGAGGTGAGTGAGCAGCTTTCCCCCAGAGGACAATGGGTGTCCTGGGAGTCTACTAATAGAGGTGATGTGAGGGCAGGCCAGATGAGCCAGAGACAGACAGACAGACAGACCCAGGGTCAGAGCAGACAGAGAGATGATAACAGGTACCAAATGCGGGGAGACATGTTTCGGGAGAGAGACAAGCAGGGTTGGGGAAGGGACAGGAGAAAGAAAGATGACAGAGGGTGGCGGGCAAAAAGCAGGCTTGCACAATGGCTGGGTGAGCCACTCTTATCTATGGGCCTCAGTTTCCCATTCTGGGGGAGGTTTTGTGTTGCCCGAATAAACCCCAGCACCTTGCAAGTATTCTACCATTGAGTACAGCTCAACCTCTGATGGCCTTTAATCAAGTTTCCCCTTTTCGGACATTTGAGGTCTTGGGCTAGAGGGAGTCAGAGGTAGTAAGACAGAGGTGGACATCAGAACTTCAGAGAGCGCTGAGGTGTAGGGTCTGGTTGCATAGACCAGTAGTCCTAGCTACTCAAGAGGCCGAGGCAGTGAGATTGCAAGTTCAAGGCCAGCCTGGGCAACTCATTGAGATTCTGTCTCAAAATAATAAGTAAAAAGAGCACTGGGGGAATGTCTAGAAGTTGAGGGCTGTGATAAAAATACATTGTATACCTATATGAAATTCTCAAAGACTAGATACATTAATTAAAAAAAACACAAAGAGGGTTGGGGATACAGCTCAGAGGGCTTGTCTAGCAAGCATAAGACTCTGAGTCAGAACACACTATGGCCAAAAAAAAAGTGTGTGTGTGTGTGTGTGTGTGTGTGTGTGTGTGTGTGTGTGTGTAAGAGAGAGAGAGAGAGAGAGAGAGAGAGAGATTGATTCAGAGGGAATGAGAGGCCTATCCAACACCTACCCTCAAATTTCCCTGAAAGGCAAAGTGCAGGCTAGACTCAGAAATTCATTGACTGACTGCCCAAAAAGTGACTGAGCAACTAATCTGAGTTAGAAACTGCAGAAATAGCCGGGCGGTGGTGGCGCATGCCTTTAATCCCAGCCCTCAGGAGGCAGAGTCAGGCAGATCTCTGTGAGTTCGAGGCCAGCATGGTCTACAGAGATCCAGAACAGGCACCAAAAAACTACACAGAGAAATCCTGTCTCGAAAAACCATAAAAAGTAAGAAAGAAAGAAAGAAAGAAAGAAAGAAAGAAAGAAAGAAAGAAAGGAAGAAAGGAAGGAAGGAAGGAAGGAAGGAAGGAAGGAAGGAAGGAAGAAAGGAAGAAAGGAAGAAAGGAAGAAAGAAAGAAAGAAAGAAAGAAAGAAAGAAAGAAAGAAAATGCAGAAATAGGCCAGGTTTGGTAGCACATGACTTAAATCTCAGCACTAGGGAGGCAGAAGTAGGCCGAGCTTTGTAAGTTGGAGGCCAGCCTGGTCTACATATTGAGTTCTAGGCAAGTCAGGACTATATAGTGAGACCCCCATCTCCAAAATAATAATGATGATGATGATTAAATATATAAATAAATAGAAAAAAGAAAGAAATGCCCTAGTCCAAGAATATGTTTTGGCAAGAAAATCTAGATACCCAAAGACAGAGACATGGAAGCAGAGGGGATTATTGCCTGGGGGAAAGACAGGCAGGATCCACAGGTGCAGAGTCATCACCAGGATCCCCAGCATCATCCCAGCTGGGACCAGTGGAAGGGCTGGCTCATGGTGTGAAGTGTGGACCACAAAGGCAGTCCCCAGAATACAAGCATAGAGAGACAAGAGAGGTGGAATGGGGGCCGAGGGGGGCATGGATCCTCTTGTCCTTCCTCTAACCTTGGTAGATGTCCTGGAGAGAACCAGCCCCGCAGAATTCCATGCAGATCCAGAGCTTCTGCAGCCTACAGGGGGTCAAGAGAGCAGGGATGACAAAGGTAGTCACACCTTGTCAGTGGTCTCTAGAAGAGGCTGACGGGGGCTCGAGGCTATCCTATTCCCCTACCCACCAGAGCGTCCCTTTCCCACAACGCAGGAGGCTGAGGATGGGCCAGGAAATGCACCTGCTAGGACAATCTGACTAGAACTTAGGTCTTTGGGTTCCAACCGCATGGCACACCTCTGCCACCCCAGGCTGACTTAGGGGACAGGGCAGAGAGCTCACGGAGAAGCAGACAGGACAAAGAGGTCCAGAGTGCAAGGTTGAGGAACTGATGTCATCAATAGGGCAGCTGAGACATTATCTTGGGGGCCAAAGAATTTGGGGTTCATATTAAGGAAGCAGGGTGAAATGGGGGATGCAGGGAGCAGACTGATATTTGTTAGTCTTTAGGGGATACTCAGTAAGAAAGGCAGAATTTTAGATTAGGAATCAGGCTGGGATGCTCCAGTTAAAAGTGGGGTCCTCAGGTTGGAGGTCAAGTTAGGGTATCTGGGTCACAAATGGTAGTTTAGGACCGAGGACCTGGTTAGTGATGCCTGGTCAGAAATAAGAGGCTGGGGTTGGGGGATGGGCTAAGACATCACCAGAGGTAACTGCCATGGTAAGCCACGATGTTGGCATGCCGGCAAGTTTTCAACATGAGAATCTCCTTCTGAAGGGTGGAGACATCATCATCTGTGAGGAGGGGCAGGAGAGAAAAGGTGGCTAAGAGCTGTGGCTTAAGGATGTGCATTCCCCACCCTAAGAAGTAAGGGTAGGGGTGCAGAACGAGTTTCTGGGGACTCTCACCAGGCTCCATCTTCACCATCTTCAAAGCTACCAGGTCCTTAGACACCTTGTCACGAGCCTTGTAAAGGGGAAGTTGGCCATCAGGCAGGCTCCATAGCTTGCCACCCTCAGCATCTCTGAGCCAAGCCCAAGGCCTGGCTTCCTCTGGCACTGCTGGTGGCCGGCCTCACCCCAACTCTCCCAGGTTTGACAATGAAGGAGGCAGAAGGGCTTTCTCACCTTGAAGACTTCTCCATAGGTTCCACCACCCAGGCGCTGCAGTAGATCATAGTGTTCCCGGGGGTCCTTATTAAAGATGTCGGGGTCTACAAGGGCCATCCCTGGAGGCCGGGGCTGGGCCGGTGCCCAGGGGGCCAGCAGGGCCTCAGGGCTCGAGCTTTGGTATTACCCTCTGTCTCCACAAGTCCTGGGCCCGCCTTGACTCTGCGGGCTGTGGCCTTCCCCCTCCCCACTCTCGCTTCCTGCCCCAGCTGCGAGGCTGTGCAGAGGGCTCCACCCCTGTCCCCAGGGTTCTGAGAGCTTGATTGCCTTGGGACTCGTGGGACTCCCCTTTGCCCCCAGAAGGGCAATATGTAAATAAGATGCAAAAGATCTTAATTGCAACCTGGGGCTGACCTAGGACCCTCTTCCCAACTCTCCTATTCTGGGAGGAGTCACAAGTTTGAACATTTGAACCTCTGCTAGGTACTTGAAGATTTGGAGTCAAGCCAGAGGTTGCAGGTGTGCACAAAGCTGGCTAAGTAGCACACGGGCCTGTTTACTCGTGACACATACGTGTCACTTAAGTGACAGCTCCAGCATGCCTGCGACGGTGTTTGCGAGGTGCACATGTCCAGTTCCCGTGTGTACCAATGTGAATGCGCTCTGGGCACCTGCCCACAAGGCACATGCCTGTGCATCGCGCCTAAAGTGTATGGAATCTGTGGCAGACTTGGAGCGCTTGTTAGTAGCCCCTATCCGGAGCCCGATGGAGACTCCAGCATGTCACGGCAATCGCGCCAGGTGCAGGAGCCATTGGCCTCCCCAGCCTCCCGGAAGAGCACGGTGGCATCACAGGCCAGGGACTTAATAGTGAGGAAACTGGATGCTGTTTTAGGGGCAAGAAGGGCTTCAGAGAGCACCTCGCACCCGACTGAACGCAAAGAGAACACGGCTGTATCCCTTTGCGCGGTTATTCGCGTTTACGGCTACGCATGCGTCCAGAGAACTCCGTGGCCTTTCGTGACTATCTCCGGCGCACGCACGTCCGGAACTTCAGCACAAGGTTTGTGCGGCCCGGGAAAAGCTTAGCCCCGCCTCCCGGCGCCTGCGTAGTAAGGCAGACTAAACCTTTTCTCACGCGGTTGGTTCCATTCAAGTGGGAGCAATGCGCACGCAAAAAATGACGCCTGCTGGGAAGAAATCACGTGGTAGCCGGAGAGACGAGGCGGCTGCCGGAAGCTCCTTTCCCCTCGCCCTCCCCGAAGGCGCAGGAGAGAGGGCGTGATGTAGTTTCCGCTTCCGGTACCTCTCTTCCGGCCCTCCGGTACTGCACGCTGGGCTGGTGTTCGACTCCAGCTGGGGCTGCAGAAGGCAACAGTGATCATGGCGATGTTTGAGCAGATGAGAGCGAACGTGGGCAAGTTGCTCAAGGGTATCGACAGGTCTGAGCTCGGCTGGAGGGTGCGCTCTGGCCAAGCGGGGTGGAGAAGACAGGGAGCCAGCCAGGGGTGGCCAGGGCTCCACGCTCAGCCAGAGGTGGAGTTCTCCAAGTTTCCCTCCGTCCCTCAACTTTCCTTTTACTGCCACCACAGACTCTCAGTGTCTCTTAGTCTCTCTCTTCTCTGCTCTTCTTGCCAGCCATCAAACGTAAGGTTCACTGATGTCTACTCGGCTAGTGGGAACCGGAGGTGATGGAGACAGCCATGGGTCCTGCTTTCCTGGACTTAGGTTCCCATTCCAGTCGCGCGACGACCCCTTTCAACAGAGAGTGATAGCAAGGAGCGATCAGGGCCAGGCCAGGGCAGGAGAGAATAGAGCTGGGTCAGAAGCGGATCCAAGAGGATGTCAGTAGATGTTCAGGCACATATACAGGATGCGGAGCCTGGCCGAGGTTGGAGGCATCCTAAACGACCCAGGGCTCCAACCGGGATAGCCAGAAGTCTGAGTTGTGAGCAGGATTTACTGGAGAATGTACAGTTGGTCAGCTCTCTGGGTAGATCCAGTAGATGGGACTAGCTTTATTATTTAAAATCGAATGAATGTAGGTTTATTAAAAGGATAATAAAGGGAAGACTACCCCAGGGCCAAATTGAAAGCTATAGGAAAGAAGAGGGTGATTTCAGGTTAACGAATTACAGTGGTAGACCCTTAGCCCTATAATGGGACTGGCCTCTGTTCTTGTCTTTGTTTACCCTTGTCTGTTTGTCTTGTTATCTCCCTCTTTCCTTTTTTTTGGGGGGGCGGTTTTCGAGACAGGGTTTCTCTGTGTAGCCTTGCACCTTTCCTGGAACTCACTTGGTAGTCCAGGCTGGCCTCGAACTCACAGAAATCCGCCTGGCTCTGCCTCCTAAGTGCTGGGATTAAAGGTGTGCGCCGCCACCACCTGGCCCCTTTTTCCTTTTGAGATAGGTCTTCACCATGCATCCCAGACTAACCTCACACTTGGCAATCCTCCTGTCCTGCCTCAGCCCCCTGGGTGTTGGGATGAAAGGCATGTACCACCATGCCAGGCGGTTCATCCATCATGATTCTCTTCCAGGTACAATCCTGAGAACTTGGCGACCCTGGAACGGTATGTGGAGACACAGGCCAAGGAGAATGCCTATGATCTGGAGGCCAACCTGGCTGTCCTGAAGTTGTGAGTGTCTGTTCCTCCTCACTGTCATGCCAGCAGCTAGCGAGCAGGATGCCACTCTGGATAGGGAACTGGGTGCACACGTGCCCCGGGCAAGCTGCAGGATGTGGCTTCTCTTTGGTGTGTAAGCTAGGAAGCCAAGGAGGTCAGAGCAGGGTTTTTTTGTTGTTGTTTTTGTTTTTAATTAGCTACAAGACATACAAGATTATCTCTGTAAACAATTCTGTTGCCTGACATATTACTGTAAATGAACATCCATGTTGTTAGTGCCACTGGCCCTTCGCCACAAGCTTTGCCCCGCCAAACCCTACCTTATGTAACTACTGTGGAGCTTCAGGTGCCTGCATCTGGATCAGCTGCTTGCACACCTGCTTTCTTGCATCTAGATGAGCTGCTTGCACACCTGCTTTCTTGCATCTAGATCAGCTGCTTGCACACCTGCTTTCCTGCATCTAGATCAGCTGCTTGCACACCTGCTTTCCTGCATCTGGATCAGCTGCTTGCACACCTGCTTGCGTCCAAATCAGCTTAGCTCAGATCTGCTTGCTTTGAGCTCAGCTGTAATCACATAGCACATGCTCTTCTCTTCCTAGAGTCTTCCTCTCATGTGTGTGCATATGTATGTATGTGCATGTTTGTGGGAGGAATGTGTGTGTGCACATGCATGTGGAGGCCCGAAGTTGGTGTCAGGAGTCATCTTCAGTCGCTCTTCCACCTTATTCCTTGAGTCAGGGTCTTATTGAACCCAGAATCACCAGCACATCTAGTCTTTGCTTGGTCAGGGAGTGGAATTCCAGACAAGCTGCCATGCCTACTTGTCATAAATATTTGGGTTTTTTTTTGTTTTTTTTGTTTTTTTTTTTTTTTGGTTTTTCGAGACAGGGTTTCTCTGTGTAGCTTTACGCCTTTCCTAGGACTCACTTGGTAGCCCAGGCTGGCCTCAAACTCACAGAGATCCGCCTGCCTCTGCCTCCCAAGTGCTGGGATTAAAGGCGTGTGCCACCACCGCCCGGCATATTTGTTTTATTTTATTTATTTATTTTTGTTTTTTTGAGACAGGCTTTCTCCAGACAAGCTGCCATGCCTACTTGGCATAAATATTTGTTTTATTTTATTTATTTATTTTTGTTTTTTTGAGACAGGCTTTCTCCAGACAAGCTGCCATGCCTACTTGGCATAAATATTTGTTTTATTTTATTTATTTATTTTTGTTTTTTCCAGACAGGGTTTCTCTGTGTAGCTTTGGAGCCTGTCCTGGAACTCGCTCTGTAGACCAGGTTGGCCTCGAACTCACAGAGATTCACCTGGCTCTGCCTCCCGAGTGCTGGGATTAAAAGCGTGCGCCACCACTACCTGGCTCTTGTTTTATTCTTTTTAATTCATTTTGTTCATGAGTGTGAGTGCAGCACTCACTTGCCGTGGCAGGCCTAGTGTGGAGGACAACTGTGAGCGGTCAGTTCTTGCTTTCCATCCTTTTTGTTTGGTTGGGTTTTTTTTCTGAGACAGGGTCTTTACATATCCCTGGCTGTCCAGGAACTCACTCTGTAGACCAGGCTGGCCTTGAACTCACAGAGATCCGCCTACCTCTGCCTCCTAAGTACTGGAATTAAAGGCGTGTGCCACCGTGCCCGTCACTTTCCATCTTTTTGAGTTTCTGCTTTTGAAGGCTAACTGGCCTACACACTTCTAGAAGATTGTTTCTTATCTGACTGTAGGAGTGCTGGGATTACAAATATACCCACTACATACAAGGGCTATCATTTTATCCATTTGTATAAATATAGCCCAGGTTGGCCTCAAATTTGCAATCTGCCTGGGTCCTAGGATTGCAGGCATATGCCACTACAGCCAGCTTTGCAAGATGGCACCACTGCTACATCTCTTGTTCTCCTTCTCAGGTACCAGTTCAACCCAGCCTTCTTTCAGACCACAGTCACTGCCCAGATTCTGCTGAAAGCCCTCACCAACCTGCCCCACACCGACTTCACTCTGTGCAAATGTATGATCGACCAGGCACATGTATCCTTCCAGCAGCATGGGAGAAGGCTGGGAAGCAGGGCAGAGGAAGGGATCTGGGCATGCCTCCAAAAACCAGGTGCCTGCTCTGGGATCAGCTCGATGCTGGGTCAGCCTCAGATGCTGTGTGGTACCTCCATATGTGTGTCTCACATATGGAGGTCCGAGGACACTTGGGGTAGTCAGTTCCCCCCTTCCACTGGGGGTTCCGAGGATTTGAGCAGATGCTGTGTGGTATTCATGTGTCTCAGAGTGCATATGGAGGCCCAAGGACGACTTGGGGTAGTCTACTCTGGGTTCCGGGCATCTGGGTTGTTAGGCTTGTGCCAAGCACTTTTACCTGCTGAACCATCCTGCTGGCTCAGAATTCTTTTTGTTCGTGTATTTATTTTGAGTAAGGGTCTTGCTATATGATCCTAGCTGGCCTGGAACTTGCTATGTAGGCCAGCCTGTGCTTGAACTCACAGAGATCCACTGTCTCTGTCTCAAGTGGTGAGTATCTTTTGAGATGTTGAGAGTGGAAGAAGATGGGTGGAGAGGGGTGACCTAGACCCACACCATAGCCTCCACGGGTTTCTGTACTGTTTCCTTAATGCTTCCTGACGCCAGCAAGAAGAGCGGCCCATCCGACAGATCTTGTACCTTGGGGACCTGCTGGAGACTTGTCACTTTCAAGCTTTCTGGGTAATGTCCTTTGGATGCTGGAGTGATTGCCTTGCATGTGGGATGCTCTGGGTGCCGCCCCCACCCAGTACTTCATAAACCCAGAAGTACTTCATAAAACCAGCACGTCTGTAATTCTAGAAGGTGGGAGTAGGAGGGTCATCCCCAGCTGCAGGGAGAGCTTGAGGCCAGCCGGAGCTATATGAGAGCCTGTCTCAAACACACAAAAGCAGTGGTACCTGCTTGGTCATGGCCTCTGTCCTCTGTCTCTGTCTTCACATAGAGCCAGGACTGGCAGATCAGCCCTTGTGCCCACATGGCTCAGACTGACCTTGTCTCCTTGTCCTATGCCTTGAGATGGACACAAGACGGGCAGCTGCCCAGGGGAGGCTAAGCTGGCCAGATGGCCCTTGCCTGAGGTACCAGTTCTTAGGAGGCTGAGGATAGAGTTCCAGGCCAGGGGCTGGAGAGATGGCTCTGCAGTTAGGGCTCCGCCTCACAACCATCCATAACTCTGGCTTCAGGGAATCCAGCATGCTCTTCTGGCCTCGGTGGTGGTCACTGGCCATGCACATGGTACACAGACATACATGTAGGCAAAACACCCATACACATAATAATGTAAGTTTTTTAATTAAAAAAAGGTAGGTGTTGTTGCAAAGGACCAGAATTTGGTTCCCAATACCCTTGTTGGGCAACCACCCGCAGGTGCTCATATTCACATAGATACACCCATATACACATAAATAAAAATAAAATGTTATCTTCTAAAATCTTTAGAAAAAAAAGTCAGGGTCAGCTTTTGCTACATAGCAAGACTATTTAAAACCCAACGGCAAAAAAGCAGCGGGGAGAGGAGGTAGCATGGTGGCCGTGGCGCACGCCTTTAACCCCAGCACTCGGGAGGCAGAGGCAGGCGGAGTCCTGTGAGTTCAAGGTCAGCATGGTCCACAGAGTGAGTTCCAGGACAGGCAACAAAGCATCAGAGAAACCCTGTCTGGAAAAACAAACAAACAAAAGGAGAGAGAGAGAAAGAAGGAAAGACAGGATGTTCTGTACCCAGGCTAGCCAAACCTGCTATGTAGCTGAGGCTGGCCTTGAACTTCTGATCCTCTTGCTTCAATCCCAGTGCCAGGATTATAGGCATTGCCATCATACCCAGCTTATTCGCTTATTGGTTGGATTTTGAGAAAGTTACCATTGTAACCTAGACTGACCTGGAACTTGAGATCCCCCTGCCTCAGCCTCCAGAACGTCAGCACCCTCACTGATGAATGCCGACAGTAGTGAGTACTGCTGGTGTTAATACTGTGGGCATCGTTCCTTCTGCAGCAAGCCCTGGATGAAAACATGGACCTCCTGGAAGGCATAACTGGCTTTGAAGACTCTGTCCGAAAATGTGAGTCCTCTTAAGTCTGGGTGCCCACGGGAAGGGGGCAGTGGTAGCAGAGTCCTAAGAAATGGCCTCTTGTCACTGTCCTTCTAGAGGACCTGGGAGAATGGAACCAATGAATGAGGCGGACTAGAGTCTCCTGCAGCAGCCAGCTTTATTCAGAGCATCAGACAATTTAAAGGTTACGAAAGGTCCTATGAGCAAGTTCACATGAGTTCAAGCCCTTTCCAGTCACAAAGATAAGCTGCTGGGATCTTAATCATTTGCTTGTTTTTGAGACAGGGTTTCTCTGTGTAGCCCTGGCTGCCCTGGAACTCGCTCTGTAGACCAGGCTGGCCTCAAACTCACAGAGATCCGCCTGCCTCTGCCTCCAAGGCCTGTGCCACCACCTCTGGCTTGGGAAACATTTTTTCTTTCTTTTTTCTTTTTTTTCCCCCCCTGAGGCAGGGTTTCTCTGTGTAGCTTTGGACCCTGTCCTGGATCTCACTCTGTAGACCAGGCTGGCCTCCAACTCACAGAGCTCCGCCTGTCTCTGCTGGGGTTAAAGGCATGCACCACCTCCAGGCTGGGAAATTTTGAATAACAAAAGTGAGTAGCTGTGTGTAATCTGGAGGAAACCCGCTCCTATTTGTTCCACCTGAAAAGCACAAAAGCACATTCTAAGAACATGCCTTATTTAGAAGGATCTCTTGTTCTGCATTTCCTCCCAAGCACTGAGAATTCTCCTCCCACAGCTCCACTGGAGACCGTGTTTGGCCAGCCTCTCACACTCTTTGTTTTGACCCCTGCAGTTATCTGCCATGTGGTGGGCATCACGTACCAGCACATCGACCGCTGGCTGCTTGCCGAGATGCTCGGAGATCTGACTGGTGAGACTTACTGTTGTGTCAGCCTGAGAAGGTACAGGTGGTTGGCGTGGGACCTCAGCCAGCCCCGGGGAACCCAGTGCACCATTTCGAGGCCATTATCTGGTCCAGAGAGGGGCTAAGGGTTTGGTGTAGGATGCTGCCCTCCGAATCTCTGAGTTCAAGGCCAGCCAGCTCCACACAGTGAAACCCTGTCTCAAAAACAAGTTGCTGCCCCACCGGGTGTGGTGTCCACCTGTAGTCCCAACAATAGGAAGCTGGGGCGTGGGCTGCAGATAAGACCCTTGAATGCCAGCTGTGTCAGACAGTGGTCCTGATGCTGGTCGTGGCAGTGATGCCAGGAGCTCAGACCTTTTCACAGATGGAGCAAAGCGGACACGATGCTTGCATCTTGTAGTAGTTGGTACTGCAAAGGGCAGTGAGGCTACTCTAGAGGGACAGCCTTTGGCGGGGCCCCAGTGTCTGGAGGTGGGCACGCTGAGAAGAAAGGACGTGTTGGTCCTGTGGCAGAAGCCGACCTGTCATGTGTGCTGGTGGCCTGTGTGCCATGGAACAGAGCAGCATGACCGGGTGAGAAGGCAACTTTCCTGTGGTCATGGGGTCTTGGGAGGACTTCTTGTGACCTTTGCTCTGGAGTGACAGAGAACATAGGAAGGCTCTGGGCAGGGGTCAGCCTTGGTCAGGGGGACTTGAAAGGTCCCTCCCAACCAAAAAACATTTGCAAAAAGAAGCATGGGTGCTGGAGAGGGTCCAGCAGTTGAGAACATTTGCTACTCAGTCTCGAAGACAGTTTCAGGATCCCAGCATCCATGGTTGGTGGTTCAGAAGCAGCAAGAAATTCATTGTACTCTCTGGCCCAGGAACACCTGTGCACATTCACACTTGCACTCACACATAAGTAAAATAAATGTTTTTTAAAAGAAATAGAAAGGATTGTTAAGAAACCAAGGGAAGGGGCTAGAGAGATGGCTCAGTGGTTAAGAGCACTAACTGCTCTTCCAGAGGATCCCAGTTCAGTTCCCAGCACCCACATGGCAACTCACACCTGTCTGTAACTCCAGGATCCAACACCCTCACACAGACATACATGCAGGCAAAACACCACTGCACACACATGAATGAATGAATGAATGAATGAATGAATGCCGGCAACAAAGGAAACTGAGCCTGGGGCATACACTCTATAATCCTAGTACTTGGGAAAGAGGCAGGAGGATTAGAGGTTGAAGTCATCCTCAGCCACGTGGTTCCAAGCCAGCTTGGGCTACGAAAAACCCTGTCTCAAAAAAAAAAAAAAGAACAAGGGCACTGACTGCTCTTCCAGAGGTCCTGAGTTCAATTCCCAGCAACCACATGGTGGTTCACAACCATCTGTAATGAGACTTGGTGCCCCCTTCTGGCCTGCAGGGAATACTGTTTACATAATAAATGAATCTTAAAAAAAAAAAAAAAAACCTGAAAAAAAATTAAAGAACAAAAACCCTGTGTGACTAAGATACTAAGGCTGGTGGCAGGCCGGGCAGTGGTGGCTCTCTAGTGCCTTTGATCCCAGCACTTGAGAGGCAGAGGCAGGTGGATCTCTGAGTTCAAGGCCAGCCTGGGCTATAGAACAACTTCTAGGACAGGCTCCAAAGCTATACAGAGAAGCCCTGTCCCAGAAAACCAAAAAGAAGGAGGGGGGGGGGGGGAGAGAGGCTAGTGGCACCCCCTGGTGGCAAAGTGGAGAATGAGCCCCCAGAAGTCAGGCTTTGCCCTAAAGGCCGGAGTTGCCTAGAGCACTTGGTCAAAGGGGGCCTGGCTTGGTGAGCCCCGATTTCCCTGCCTCTAACATCTCCACCCTGCCCGTGTCACCTGCAGACAACCAGCTTAAAGTGTGGATGAGCAAGTATGGCTGGAGCGCCGACGAGTCAGGGCAGATCTTCATCTGCAGCCAGGAAGAGAGCATTAAGCCCAAGAACATCGTGGAGAAGATTGACTTTGACAGTGAGTGGCCTGGGGCCACAGGCTGTGGGGAGACATGGTACCCTCAGAGAACAGGCTGCTGGCCCAGGGAGAACCAGTGAAGGGCCTGGCAGGGTGTTCCCATCCCCTGCTCAAGGCTGCCTGTGCGAGGCTAGTCTTGCTTCTCTGTGCCTCAGTTTCTCGTAGAAAGGCAAGTGACAGTACCAGTTATGACAGAGCGTATGGTTCTTTATGTGTGAGTCATTTGGTCCTCCCGTAAGAGAGTTGCTCATTCTAACTTGGAAACCAATAGAAATGGCATGGTGCCTGCCTCCCGGAAGGGGCAGTGTGAAAGGAGATCATCTTGTAGGGCACTCAGCCAAGGGCCAGGCACAGTGAGTGTCGGTGACCGCTGTCACCGTCACGCTTTGAGTAAACAGACTTAGCCACAGAGAACACAAAGCAGGTGTGGCAGCATGTGTCTTTGGTCTCAGCACTCGGGAAGCAGGAGGCCAGCCTGGACTACCTGGTAAACTACCGTCTTTAAATCAGTAAGTAATAACTAGGATTTTTAAAGTGATCCGGCATTTAGCTGGGTACCCTGCCTCACTCTTCCGTCTGGTGAGTGAGTGTCACGAAAGGAGGGAAGGCCTCCCCGGGTTCCCTCCTTGGTCTCCCAGCTTTGACTGTGTCGTATCCACACTGGGCGCCCTGACCTCTGCAGGCAGTGCTCATCATGTGTGCATCTCAGAATTCTGTGGAAGGTTCTGTGTGCAGTAGAGAGCTACAGGCCAGGCCAGCGTCCAGTGAGTAGCTTGTGAAAGTATTGTTAAATGCACACAATGCTTAGTACCAGACATGTGTTCAAGCACTTTAACTCTGTAATCCTATGAGATAGATGCTTTATACAGATGGGGAAACTGAGGTACAGAGCTTTTAAGTAACATGTCCAGGACCATTAAACTACAGCAGCAAACTGCTTTTGTGGTTGTGACCTGACCCTGAAGGACAGACATCATCTCCCTAGAAGGTGGCTCTCCTCCTCCTCCTCCTCCTCCCAAATTTACCCTGTTTTCTCCTTCTCAACAGGTGTGTCCAGCATCATGGCCTCTTCCCAGTAACTGCGTGCGTTAAATAAAGGCATGTTCACACCACCCTGCTGTCTCCTGCCTCTGCCCTCAGAGCCAAGGCCCTAAGCCGAGGCCCTTCCCTCTTCTTGGGCGTCCCCCATGCCTCTCCCTTCCACTTCCTCCTTTACCTCCTCTTCCTCCCCTTCCCCCCCCCACCCCGTGGCCTTTCCCTGCCACTCCTTCCTGACCTGTGAGTCAGCCCAGCATGAGGTAGGCTGAGGAGGGTGAGAGGCTTGGGGAGTCGCCACCCTGGGCCCCTGGGCTCATGAGAGAGGAGAAGAGGCTCTGTGTCCTTGACAAGTCACCCTACTTCCGATTATGGGTGTCCTCATCTAGAAAGGAGAGTGTGGTACTTTCTCAGCTGGCAGAGGTGGGGTTGGGGTGGCATCTGGCCAGTGCCAGGCTGGGAGTGGTAGTCTGCCAGTCCCAGCACTTGGGAGGTGCAGGCAGGAAGATCGAGGGTTAAAAGCTACTCTTGGCTACATCAGACCCTGTCTTTAAAGGCGGGTGGAGGGCTCAGTCTATAAACTTACTGCTCAAATAAATGTGGGGCACGCACCACTCGGGGGGCTCAAACAGGAGGTTCCCTGAGGCTTACTTGCTGCCTGTCTAGCCGGATTGGTGAGCTCTAGGTTAAGGGAGAGACTCTGATTTAATTTTGGGACTACGGCTGTAGTTCAGTTGGGTTCAGGCCCCAGCCTCACAAAGAACGCACCTGTAATCCCAGCCGTTGGGAGGCTGACCTCACTGTGTACATGTGTGCACATCTGCCACACTTGACAGCCTTAAGTGGTTTGCCCTGGTCCTCCGACAGCCCTTTACCTGTTCCTTTCAGTAGTCCAAAACTCCTTGTTCACCAAAGAAACAAACGAATCGGGAGACATTGTTCATTTCAGACTGAAGATCTGTCACCAAGGTTGTTGGCTGGCCTTTGGTGCTGTTCTGGTCGCAAAGGTTACCAGACTGCCTGCTGAGTCAGCGATCCTCCCAGATACCCAGTTCATGTCACACCTAAAACATTCTGGGTATTCTGGCCAAGTGACCTTGAGCAGGTGATTTCAGTGTGCACAGGGTCAGGGGTGAAGTCAATGGAGATAAAATGACCCAGTAAATGTTCTGCCTTGGCCACTCCCGTCTCCCTTGGGGCCCCATCTGTTAGAGCAGTGAGTGGATTGATTGCCTGTTCACCTTCCCTGTCGCCAGCACCCACCCAACATTCCTAGGAGAGTCCTGTCCTGGTGAACCTGGGTGGGGCGCACACCCTTTGCTCTGGCCTCCAGACCTACTTGAGTAAGCACCAGGAACTGGATCCTCCTAACCCCGGGGACAGAACAAATGAATGACTGCTGTTCGAAAGTCAGCTCTGAGGTGCTGAGGAAGGGAGGGAGGCCTGGTATGCTGCCCCACCCGCCAGCCATCTTGTACAAGTCAAGGAGACATCTCTGGGTGGGGATGACAAGCAGGCATCCACTTGGTGAACATGCTTTTGTGTGGGATGCAACTGGCCGTAGCTGTTGAGCAGGAGGAGACATGACCTTTTGTCCCTCGACAGCCACATCTTACCCTGCTTCCAGTCTGGCTCTGACTGAAGACTGAGTTCAAACTCAAGACTAATGGCTGTGGGTGTAAGTTGACTTGTGTGCTTTGGTTTAATGGCCAGAGAGTCTTCAAGCTGTTTCTGTAGTCACCTGTGACATTCCACTGTCTGCTCCCACCCTGGGAGACCATCCTCTCAGTAGATTTACAGTGTTAACAAGGAATACTGGGTCAGCCATGATTTCCTGGCATTCTGAAGGCAGAGGCAGGAGGACTGCTTGGAATTCAAGATCAGCCTGGGATGCAGAGGGAGATTTGGATTGTGGAAAGCTGACTACTAGACATAACAGCCATTGCTGTCTTCAAATCTAGAGTAGTTTTGTACTGGGTGTGGTGGCACACGCCTTTAATCCCAGCACTCTGGAGGCAGAGGCAGGTGGATCTCTGTGTGTTCCAGGCCAGCCAGGAGGACCTGGTAAGATTCTGTCTCAAAGGGAAAATGTTGTGTTGGAGAGAGATCACAGTGATTAAGGGCGCTTGCTGCTCTTGTAGAGAACCTGGGTCCAGTTCTTAGAACCCACATGGTAGCTCACAGTACTTTATAACTAGTTCCAGGGCATCCTGCTCCCTTCTGTCCTCTGAGGGCACCCGGGCATGCACATGGTACATGTAAATGTATGTAGGCAAACACAGTAAGTCAATCCAAAGAACCAGTGGTTGTACTTACTTAAGGAGACCCTCAGCAGACTTGGCTCTTTTTTTTTTTTTTTACTTTGTGTGCATTGCTGTTTTTGCCATGGGTGTCGGGTCCCCTGGAATTGGAGTTACAGTTGTGAGCTGCCATGTGGGTGCTGGGAATTGAACCCGGGTCCTCTGAAAGAGCAGTCAATGCTCTTAACCATCTGAGCCATCTCTCTAGCCCCAGACTTGGCTCTTAATGGCTCCTCCTGTAAGTGGGGGAGGGTGCTTGAGTGCCCTGCCCCTCTCTCCCCCTCTAACCACCCCACCCCCCAGTTATTATCACTCAGTGACCATGAGTGTCTGTTAAGAATTGCTAAAGGGATCATCATTTCATTCAGACCTCACTACCTAGGTTGCTGCCTCTACTTCTGAGCCGGTGGGTTGGGAATCTCAGTGCACACAGTAAGTGGGCAGAGAGGGCTGCTGGCCAATTGCACCAACTGCAAGATTCTTGGGCTACGCAGGGGATGCTGCACACATTTGTAATCCTACCTCCTGAGAGCTGGGCGGTCAGGAGTTCAAGGCTAGCCTCAGATAAATAGGGTGTTTGATGCCAGAATGAGCTATTTGAGACCCTGCCTTAAAAACAAACTAGTCATTTCCCTGGGGTCCTTCAGTGAAGTCCTCACACTTCTCCTTTGCTCGGATCCCAAACCTAGGGGACACCCTGTTTTTCCCAACAAAGTAAAATTCATGACAGTGCTGTAGGTGACTGGTCCCAGTCCTTCTATTCTCTCCTTTTCCCAGACCCTGACAGCAGGTTCCTCTCCTACAGCAGCCCCCCACTGCTGAAAGCCCCACTTTAACTTTCTCATTAAAAAAGCCGGGCAGTGTTGGCACACACCTTTAATCCCAGCACTCGGGAGGCAAAGGCATGTGGATGAATCTCCGAGTTCAAGGCCAGCCTGGTCTACAAAGTGAATTCCAGGACAGGCTCCAAAAGCTACACAGAGAAACCCTGTCTCGAAACTGTGTGTGTGTGTGTGTGTGTGTGTGTGTGTGTGTGTGTGTGTGTGTGTGTGTGTGTGTGTATAGATGTATACACACACACACACACACCACACATATATAGTAGGGCTTGGAGGGCTGGTTCACCAGTAAAGAGTGCTTGCTGCTCTTGCAGAGGATTCACATTTCCCAGTATCCATGCTGGGTGGCTCACAACCTGCTGTAACTCCATCTTTAGGGGCTCTGATCACATCTTCTGCCCTCCACAGGCACTGTACTTATCTACACAGAGATTAAATTTATTCAAAAAATCTTTGCATTTATTTGTGTGCGCATGCCATGATGTCAGAGGACAACTTGCAGGAATGCTCTACTGTGTAGGTTCTGGAGATAAAACTCAAGTCATTAGGTGTGCTGGATAGTTTAATGTCAACAGATGCTGAAGTCATCGGAGAGGAGGGAACCTCAATTAAGAAAATGCATCCGTAAGACTGGGCTGTAGGCAAGCCTGTTGGGCACTTTCTTAATTACTGATTGATGGGGGAGGGCCCATCCCCTTGTGGGTGGGGCCATCCTTGGGCTGGTGGCCCTGGGTTCTATAAAAAAGCAGTCTGTACCAGCCATGATGAGCAAGCCAGTAAAGAGCACTCCTCCATGGCCTCTGCATCAGCTCCTGCCCTGCTTGAGTTCCTGTCCTGACTTCTTTGATGAGCAATCATACAGAAGTGTAAGCCAAATAAAACTCTTTACTCCCAAACTTGTTTTTTGGTCATGGTGTTTCTTTGCAGTAATAGAAACCCTAAGACATTAGGCTAGGCATCATCTACCTGCTGAGCTATCTCAACAGTCCCTAACTGCGCCAGTGTTTTGTTAAGCAAGGTCTCCTCTAGCCCAGGCTGACCTTGAACTAGAAGACCCCATGCCCCATCCTCCCAAGTATTGGAGCTGCAGGCCTGAGTTACCACACCTGGCTCTCCTCGTGGGTTTGAGCCTATTCATTCATTCTCTTAGGACTTAGTAAGTTTCCTCTGCATGCCAGACACTGCTTCGGAGGCCAGGGCTAGAACAGAATCTGAAGCAAAGGTCCCCTTCCCTCCCTTGTGGGTTGCTATTTTTGGGAAAGAAACAGCCAGGACATAGAACAGCAATGAATCAACAATGTTAAACGGTGAAAAGTATTATGGACAAAGGTACAGGAGGCAGTTTTTGTTCAACAGATGTCTGGATGGAAACTGGACGAGCCGTCCACCAGTAGGCCACGCCCCCAGACCCTCACCAGTGGACTCTAGTTAAGCACTCTACCATTGAGCCATGCTTCCAAGTCCTCACTACTGGGTTCTAGGCAACTGCTTGCTCCACCACTGAGGCACACTCCCATCCCTCTCTGGTGAACTCCAACACTCCTCCACTCTTCCAGCCCAGAATGCTATTTTATTTAAAGTGGTCAGGGATGGGCTTTTGGAACAGCTGAGATCTGCAGGAGAGGAGGCCGTGAGTCATAGGGATTCGGAATGTGGGGAAAGTACAGAGACAACACTTTACTGTGTGCAAAAGCCTTGGAGGCTTAGGATCATTCAGTCAGGAGGCCAGCAAGCTAGCGGGAGGGTGGCAGGTAAGCTTAGGGAAAACAGGGACCCAGATGTGGAGGACCTTCTGGGCCTCGCTGAAACCCCAGGACTGTCACTTTTTTTTGGGGGGGGGGATGTTTTTGGTTTTGGTTTTTCGAGACAGGGTTTCTCCGTGTAGTTTTGGTGCCTGTCCTGGATCTCACTCTGTAGACCAGGCTGGCCTTGAATTCA